TCGTGATGATGATTAGGATGATCACAAGCCAGACAGGCAGTGTGCCTACAACATAACAGTTCTCATGAAACACAACTCTGCTGGGAACAGAATGACCACGTACATGAAACCTGGCTTATATCAAAACACAATTGTATTAAATTATTTTAGGGAAGTGTTTTCTGTTAATTAACTGGATGATTTAATCAATTAACAGACACATGCATGATCAAAAATAGGAACCACTTTATAATTAATTCAATTATATATTCTGTTAGTAGCTTAACCCAGTAGTGGGTCATCACAGCCACTGACTTCACTCCTTGCATCAGTATCCTCTGTAATCTGCACTCCCAAATATCTGAATTCTGTATGGGCAAAGCGGAATCTGTCTATATCAAGATCTTCACTTTGCTTTACATGTCTAGTGGTTATCATATATTTTGTTTTCTCCTCATTCACTTGTAGGCCCAACTCTCTTGTGCCTTCTATAAAATCTTTAAAGGCATCCTCCATTACCTTCTTTCATCATGCCAGAATAAATACATCATCTGCATACACCATATGGTCATATCTTCTTTATTTCCTATTGCCCTTTCCAGAGAATAACGCCTCCTTTCGGAGGTTTCCTTGGTATTTTTTGATGTGTGCATTTGTGAGAAGTGAGTGACCAGCCCACTGACTGCACAATTTCTAATCAATCCTGATTTTGACTGCCAGAGCAATCTAGTAGTGAATCACAAGAGACTTGGGTGAGAAATGGCCGCTGAATTTTGTTTACGAAACGTCTCGTATCATGCTCACAAGGCTCTTTTACATGCTGTAATCTATGACATGGGACTGCCGGCTTTACTTCCCCTACGAAGGAAGTTGTGCTACAGATTTTTATCACCCTTAAAAATCTATCGACCTCGGCCGGAATTGAACCCGCGAACCTAACCTCTAGTCCACTGAGGGTGACAATTCAATTATATATATACATATTCATAATAATTCATTCCTTCAAAGTTATGCTGTTATACAAAGTTATGTTATGGCGTCTCACCAACAAATTCTTGACCACATCAAATTAACGTTACTGTTGTCCTGCTGTATTTCATTAAACTCTCATATACCTTACAGCCAATCTCTCTTCTAAAATGTTCAACAAATTTCAGTATAAAATCCAATATGCTTATTCTTTTCTAAATAATGTATATTTAAAACTGCTCTTGTATCTTCCTTTTTTAATTTTAACCATTCTTCTTTATGATTTTGTTGTTTATGCCTGTCTATAATGACTTACATTGCTTTCTAAGCAACTTTATTGCCTGTCAGTATCTCAAATATTTAACCCTTTCTGAGTGGAAGCTGGATATACTCAAGGACTTCAATCAGTGCCCTGTATGTGAAAACTAGAAAGATATATCTGAAGTTTAAACAAAGTCTCAATTTACCATTCTCTGTGCCATATGACATCAAAATTCACAGATGACACAAATGTTCATGTGAGTCTTCATGACACCAAAGAGTCAAACAGATGGCAAAATTTAGGTACAAGTGTAGGAATCCTTGTTCATTATGTGTGTAACTGATATTCAGAATGTGTTAAGTGGGTGCATTTTACATTTGACAACGCACTGAACACAGCATGGAGGAGATTGTGTGATGAAGAAATTGTCTATTTTAAATATTAGCAGTAACACTACATTAGACTTTAGATCCAGTGACAGTGATCAGGAAATAACTGGTACTGATGCAATGAGTGTGACAGCAGCAGAAGTCATGGTAAAACAGCAAGCAAGCAACTGGCTTGGAGTTATTTCAACACTGGAGCAAACACAACTATTCCAGTACAAAACAATGAACATAAAACAGTTGTACCATCAAGTTTTGATTGGAAAAATGAGGCTACTGAATGTCTTTAACCTTTTCTTTGACTTGAATGTGTTGGACCTAGCAATGCAGGAAATTACACTGAATGGAAACAAACAGCAAATTCACAACATGCCCCTTACTAAAGATCTAGAATCACAAACTGGTAACCTCCAAACATAGATATCAAGACACTGTTTGGCATTATTTTGGGCATGATAAAGAACAAGATCAACTGAAGAAGGAAGATCTAATGGTCAGTCTAATTTTATTGTCAGAGAGGAAAATGGGTTTATGTTTTTGTCAATTGTGATGTGTATAAAGCAAAGAAACTGCAATGAAAGATACTATATAAGACCAGTGCATATAATATGTAGTAAAAAGCCATTTTTAGATCTAGACAAATTCTGCAATAAAAAAGTCACTAACTCAGGTTTATATTTACAAAATATATACCAGACTTAATGACTTTTATATGGCATAGTCTAAATGTTCTGAAGTGAACATGGCTATCTCCTAGGATGAAGCACCATGTAATCTAGTAGATACTGACTGACATTTCAAAGGAACACACTGCCTCCATCATTAGGATGATTGCTCTTCTGAAATGTCAGTCGATATCTACCAGACTTCAAGGTGCTACATCCCAGAACATAATCTACTTTGTTTTTATATGTGTAAAACAGAATAATTCTGATAACATGTGAGAAAGAAAAGTGTAATATATTTCAGTAAGCAGTGGGTGCAGTGATGCACAAGTCACTTTTGCAAGTTAACATTAAAAATCTAAATCATGTCACTTCACAGTTTTCTGCTGCTAAATGGAGCACCTGTAATGTAATAATCCACCTTCATAAAATACCTTATAATATTAGTCATTTTAAACAGTTTTATGCACATTTTATAACACAAGAAATTTCACTGGGAAGGGTTAATATTGCCAATACCAAGACCTAGCAACAGACATGACATGATTCTCATTGAATTCCACTCATATCTGTAAGAAGTCTCGTAATTATCCACGAATATACACTGTATTACAAGTGGCTGTTTCTGGGGATGTGTAATCACCAATATTCTGTGTGCATTCCTCTCTGTCTTTTCATTTCTAGTTACTTGAGCCATCATATAGTAGAATTGAAAACGAAGTTACTACGTTTCAGTAACTGGCTCTGCTAATCCCTATCCCTGGACTGGGATCAGCCCCTTCTAATGAACCCAACAGAAAAGGCATTGTGGCACTTGTAAACAAGAGAAAAGCCACACCCCCTAATGTAGTGGCTTCTTTTCAGTACATTTAATAATGGACCAAACTCAGAAAAACAGCAACAGTGAATGTAACACACCACTGTTAGAATATTTAGACTGATAAAATATATTTTATGCATAATGGAGATGTTCATCAAGTAACATCCAAGGGTGTGTTAATGACATTTATTAATTCAACACAGTGTCTGCGCTGTATAACAGGGTCAGACATTCCCAGCAAAACTAATCCAGAAGTTGCGCTGTGACACAAGCTTTCTGTTCTACACTCAATTAATTCCTAAGATACCCATCTCGAATACACTCACAGCAAGCCCTCCAGATACAACACATTGTATTCTGTTGTTGAGGTCAATGGCCTACCACTGCACAGCTCATCAGTCCGCATGCAATATTCACCCGAAGGTTTTGTACACCATTCTGACACATTCCATATTCACTGCTGATGTGCCCAGAGTTCCTACATTGACATCAATGGCAGTGTTGATGAAGTGGAAATACACTTCCTCTCAAAAACAAGTTCCTGGACAATGGAGCAACACTGAATGTGTACTGTTATTGCACAATACTGTGGTATCTGAAGGAAGCCACTGAGATGAAACACCATGGTCACAGGGAAAATTATCCTTCTGTACAACAATACCAACCCCAAATTCATGCCAGTATACAACTCTTGAAGCAGTTTCACTGGAAATGTCTTGTCCATATGCCATACAGCCCTAACCTTGCACCTAGTGACTTCCAACATTTAGGATCACTGAAGAAGCAATTCAAAGAAAAACACTTCCAATATGAAGACAACGTGATGATGAAAGGGGGCTGGCATTTACAAATTCTGACCCCTGATGTCTTCTCCACAAGAAATAAACAGGTGGTATTTTTCTGAAACAAAAGCTTCAATTTCTCTGAACATTATGAGGCACAGAAAGTTATCCATTATTCCTCGCTCTTCTAAAAGTAATGAATCTGATGAAAGACTCTCGGGTTACAAGCCACAGCAGCCCAAAGGATGAAAGCAGAGACTGTTCTCGAAACGTTGGCAGAAGATATGGTTTATTAACCGTTCAGCCACCTGACGCGGCTTGTAACCCGGGAATCTTTCATCAACTTCAGTCGCTGTGAAAGCTTATATTTACGAGGTGCGATCGCAAAGTTTCCAGACTGTGTCAATAGAGGGCGAACCGGAAGTAGTACGAGCTTCTGCTGCTAGGGAGTGCGGCCTACATTCATAGTGAATCAGTGTGCCATCCGGCATCATCGAATTAGCATTTGTTTCTTAGTTACGGGCGTTTTGGTAGTGCATTACACCGACCCTCCTGCGATTTCGGAATGGCGTGTGCATCAAATTTTGCCAAAGACTCGCCAAAACGGCTACGGAAACCTATGAAATGCTAAAGCAAGCATTTGGGGAGTCCGCAATGGGTCGTGCACAAACGTTTGTGTGGCATTCACGTTTTAAAAATGACCGAACCTCTGTCGATGATG